GGATTAAAATCTAAAGAATGCTGAACCTTAGTCACTTAAAGGAAGAAGAATATGTAAATTTAGTGAATAAAGAAACTAGATTTATCAGCAACTCCTAATAAAGGTAAAAGTAGAAAATTGAAACGAATGAGAATTTTCAAATTGGAAAAATTAAATGAAACTTTTGTCAAATCATGGTGTAGATTTATACCAGCTAAAATTGATATTCATATATTAGAGATGAACTTCAAAGATTAATAATCTGTCTAAAAAATAAAAAAGTTGATAATAATCAATTTGCTAATGAAATATGTAGATGAATAATTCAAGAATAACTAGAGGAATAGAAAAAGATGAAGGAGAAAGAACAACTTAAACTAGCCAAATTAAGTAATGAATTATAGAATAAGAAATTAGAAAAGGTAGAATACTTAAATGGATGCAGGAGTTATTGCAGACACAAATTTCCCCTTTCTAAACCACCTTCTAGTTAGTAGCAAAATAAACTAAAAACCACATGAGGGAGGTAATCTCAGGATCTCTATCTCTTAAGAAGGACAATTAATTATCATAATAATTTTGGAGCAACTATGATCCAGTAAAGTTTGAAATTTCATAAGAAGGAAGTTGGATAGGTATACTTTAAAATTTATAGGCCTAATTGTTTAAGCAAAAGATATAATTATTAATAAAGAATTAAACTACTATTTAAGATTTTGTGAATCTGATCAATACTCATGAAATATATAAAGGTAATTGCAACAGGTTTTAGACCTAGGCGGCCCTATATTTATAGTAGAAAGAAGAATTATTTATATAAAAGAAAACTTCAAACATGCAATACTATTAGATGGCTGAATTCTGAACCTATAAGCCAGTTACATGAGCAAACTGTGATTTTGAAGATCTTTAAATAATTCATATTCTACTTTCTATTTAACAATGTGATAGCATTCCCTAATCTTTACATTGAGGAATACTTATTGGAGTTGGTCATATTTTGAAAATCATATCTTTGCTCTATTCCATAAATTGTAGTATAATGATTAGGTCTACTTTGAATTAATTGTTTGAGACAATTAAATCATCATTTGATTCGATGATAGTACTTAAGGATAATATGGCAATTATGTAATGCTCAGAGCTATGTAGTTACTTTACCAGTGTATGACTAGTGAGTGTTCAGAATGATTTTTACAATTATTTATAAATTATCATTACTTAGGAATCTAATGAAAACATCATAAATTGTAATTTAATTTACAGATAACTTAGAATTTTATCGCAATGACTTCAATTTCTAAAAATTACATGAAATCTCAATAAAATTGTACCAAAAAAGAAAATGTTTCAATAACTGATTTCGTTTTTGGAATTGAAAATTACAAAAAAATTTAATTTATGAGTTTATAATATTATAAACTTGATTTATATGATACCAAGATTATATAATTAACATATTAATATAGAAATTTAATTGTAAATTACACTAATAATTGGAATCCATCTTGTTAGATAAATATTTATATAGATATTTTTTTTTCCAAATTGACTAAAATTTTTGATACAATTATTTTCTTTAATCAAAGTACAGAACATAAAAATAAACACATAAGAGCCAAATTTGTAATTATTATATTTCAATTTTTTTAAACAAAACTATTTGTTTTTAAATTACAAATAAGAGTAGATTTAATTAATAATGTTATATCTAGATTTATGAATGAATATCTAGATATTTATTTTACCAGTCCCCCTGATTTAGATTCAAATAGTTAATACTATTTTTAACCATTTATAAAAAATCTAATAATGGTGAAGAATACTATAAGAGAATAATATTTAAAAATTTGGTGTGAAAATAGATATTACAATTGAAATTATAATATTAGAAATTTTTTAGTTTTTCATAAAATAAAAAGCATCATTTGGGTTTTGAATGATTAGAAATTACCAACACACGTTTACTTTATGACCTAAATTAAGAAAACCTTATAAAGAGTAACAAGAGTAATATAGTAATTAGAGAAAATAATGATATTTAATGAGACAGTAATCTTCTTTTGTTGATTGCCTTCAATTTTTACAGGAAATATAAAAAATAGAAAATGTCCCATTTACTCAGATGGATAAACTATCGATGTTTGATAAGTCTCTAAAGACTTCAAATTGATCAACTGAGAGAGGCTAAAGTTATAGGCATGAAGCCTTTGTTAATTGCAAAGGTGAATTTGATTACCAAATTATTAAAAGGAGTTCAAGATTGATTCCAGGTTTAAGGAAAAAAGATCGAAATCTTTATTGGTCTAATTACTGGGGGTATTGAATCTACTTTATCAATCAGAGTTAAGGAGGTAATAAAGTTACTAAAAACGGAAGTACATTTTCAAGTCAAATTAGGAACCACTCTTAAAATGAGAACACCCAAAAAATAATGTCTTGTTGGCCAAAGAATGTAATTATGTAATGCGATGTTTTAGATAATCAAACTATTTATGTTTAGTTTAATGAGGGTTAAAATTAAGTTAACCTACTAAAAAACGACTAATTTAAGGTTAAAGTCTTAATATGAACTTACATCA